TATATATATATATATATTATTATTATTATTATTATTATTACTGTTAAACTGCTGGAAACAGGTCTGATCATGCAAATATGATGCATTCTGTGAATTATATTATAGTCTACATCTCTGCAGACACTGGACTTGTGGGAAAGCAACAGCTGTTATATATTGTCAGATTGTACAATATGGGAGATGGTTAATTGTAAATGTCACAAAAGTAACTAAAAACAAGTGAAAACAATGTCTGCTGACATATTAGATTCCCTGCTTAACAGATAATCACCTAAACCAGTGTTTTTCCTTTTGTTCTTCATCTGCTCACAGGGGTCAGAAAATAAGAACTCACCAATTCAACAGCCTGAATGCATCACTCATGTCAAAATGCTGCTGCAGCAGCATATATCACAGTGCCAGCAGCAACCAAAGTGTGGGTCACACCTGGAAGTCAAAGGTATGTGATTATTTTACTGAAACTGCTGTATACATCCTTAAATTCATAATGAGAATCAGTCTTTTCTCACTGGGAAAAAAATTAACTCATCATAGTAGAAACCTCTAAATGTCAATGGCTGTATCCATCACAATAGGGGACTTAAAATATACAAATTAAAAATGCTTGTGCTTTTCCTTTTTAATGGCAGTATGTCTCCACCAGCTCTAATTTTAATAAATAGACTTCCATTTAGATGGAAATATTTTTGGGAATAAATAGTTTTAGCTTTAACGTAAAATTACAATAAAAATCTTTTTCTTTCTGACTAATATTCTAGCTCAAACTTGTACTGCAAAGTCTGGACTGCATTTTCAGTTTTCTACTTAGTTTAACAAACAGACATTACATGCAGCTGAAACATATATAAATTCACAACGAGCCTGGATACTGGTCTCCTGTATGTAACGCGGAGTTTCTTGCTGCCAATCAAGTCTTGGACTGCAGCTGTTCTCAATCTAGTCTGATTACAGCAGAAGGCTTTCTTCGCAGTTCCACCGAGGACACCGAACAGTATTGTTTTCTCACATTCTGCTGTTGTTTGCTTGTGAAATGCCGTTTGTGGAAGAGCCCGCCCATCTCTCTAAATCTCGTCTAAAGTCGGATTTAGTCGCTCATAACGTCGCGCTGCCACCTGCAGCGAGCAAAAAGGCAGTGTATGTGGAGCTGCACCTCAAACACATTGATCAGAAAAACGCGGCGGATTTCTCCAGCGACGAGGAGGACCGTGCAGGAGATGTGAGTCCATATTTTGTGGCTACATGGTTTTCTACTGTAGACTTTTTCGAAGTAGAGACGAACTTAATGAGTGACAGTGACAAAGTATTTGCTCTGTGCAACGGCTCTTTAGTATCGGCTGTCACAACTGATGTCCATACATTAAATTGGTATCAATAATGCCAGACGTTGCCAATGCTAATTCTTTCACACCGCAGCAGCACAAGTTCAGCAGCTGTGTGCTTTGGAGGTGTGGAGCTCTGGACCATTGCTTCCGAACAGCCCTCTTGCTGTTGCACACTTGAGGACTTCAAGCACTTAGACCAACTGTACAGCAGGTGGTTTATGTTACATGAGATGTTTCTGTAATGGAGGCTACCATTACAGTCGTGTGCGCACCTGTCACGCTCATCTAGCTCTGTTATGAAGGGGAACGCTGGCGCTTGTCTGGAAAGACGTCATGTTTTGGGTAAACTATCAAAACTAAGCACAACATTGTGTCAGTTTCACCATTAGAAACTGCAAGATAAAGTGAACAGGCGTTTAAACTGAGAAATAGTAAGAAATGTGTGACGTTTCCTTGGTCCCCCCCCCTCTCGAATGTGAATTATGAGTTGCAACCTAAGTTTATACATCCTTTTTTTTTTTCTAGTCAGAGCTCGTTTGAAGATCCTACTTTACATTTAAACAACAAGGGGGACTAATACTAATTTGTCCTGTCCTTTTGTGTATTTTGTATCACAATAGAAAACAGATTTGCCAAAGTTTTTTTTTCTTATTTGGTATTTTATATTTTATTTATTTATATACTATATTTATTTTATATTAATTTCTCAGTTGGTTTGGTTGGGTACAACAAAGTAACTTTAACTCTTTTTTTTTTTTTTACTTCTATCTTTTTTTTCTATCATATCTAAACATGAACACAAATGACTTATAACATGATTAGAAGACTGAACGGATCCATAAATTACAGCCTCCAGCTGTTTTTATTTCTATCTTCACACCTGGATCTTCCTGGCATTTAACTCATAGCTGCTATCACTTTAAAGTGAGCAAATCGTGTCTTTGTTAGGACAAGAAAGATCCAGAGGATGCAGAGATGCCTGTTCCAAGTTGTCTGACTGATGAGGACCTCAAGGCCACATTACGCAAACATGGTGTTAAACCTGGGCCTATAACTGGTGAGGGTTATGAAAAGATTTTTTTTTAAGCACCTTTTCATTTTTTTCCATTGAAAAAAGTCTTTATACGTAATATTCAGATGGTTTTTAGATCTATATAGACCTAGATCTTAAGAGCAAATTGGTCTCATGCTGTGTTTCAATGCCAGCCTCCACTAGGGTCTTGTATGAAAGGAAACTCCATAAACTGCTACAGTCTGACAGATGTGAAAGGTTGAATAAAGCAGACAAAGTCATACTGTACTCTGACTCTGAAGAGGAGGAAAAGCAGCAGGAGAAGGATGAAGACTTGGGTATGACAAGAAATGTTTGGGGTTTATTTGAATAAGATTTTGCTTTATTCGTATCACAATGTTGTATTTTTCTCTGGCTTGTACAGGTTCAGAAAAACAACCTGACCCTTCAGACCAAACCCAACAAGAGAGCAGCCAGGTGAGGAATTATTTTAGAGACTTTGGTTCTTTTTGATGTAAGTCACTTTTGTTTTTTAAAACTTTCTCTTTTTAACAATCTGGAAGTAAGTTGGCCTTACTTATTGCCATCTGCTGGGTATCATACTGCCACTCAACAGTTCTATCCCACCACAAAACTTCCCTCTAGTGCCACCTAATGGTTACTCATTGCAGTTTTAACACTGGATTCAGATTTTTGCCAAAGCATTTGAATTGTAACTTTTGATGTTATTTTCTTTAACTTTTCAGAATCACATTTTTTACCCACAGTGCTTTTTACCCTCATCAAGGCTGGTAATTACTGCAGATATTTCATTTCAAGAACATTCTGTCAAACTGAATTCTTAGGTGATACCAAAGTTCTTTTTGTTCCCCCCCCCCCCTCTTTCATGGGCTTGGCTTTTTAAGCGCCCTTGTCCTCCTAGGAACACAAAATCTAGTTCCAACTGGAATTCACGGAATGCATTAAAGTCTTCAGAGCGGAGTCAATCTCGGTGCTCACAGATTATTAGCACATCCGCTGCAGATCACCACACAGGATTAGGATCAACGGTAGGCTGGTCTTAGTAGGCGCCCTATGAATTTGAAATTCTCTGCATTCCTTAGTCTTTTTTTTGCTTTGTGAACCTCTCAACATACCATAGTTCGATGGTTTTTATTTACCATTCATATGGAGATGAATCATGTTTCACTGCTTTTAACATGATACCTTGCAGGTTCTACCTAGTTCAAAGTCCACTGATGACTCATCACTTTCTTCTCAATACTTCAGCATCACTCAAATGGTTGAGGAGGAAAGTTGATCCACATTTAAAGCTCCATATTCAGTCTTTATTTTTGTTATATCTCTGCTGGAGTTGTTGCTCAGTTTACATTCTTGCTGTAAATAGATGGAGAATTCGAGCTCACGGTCTGTCACAGACCATGCGTGCGAGTTCAATGGGACCAGTGTGCAGGAAAACTGGGCACAGTCAGACAGGGTCAGTAGAGCTTATGGTGTTCAGTCGCACTTTACACACAAACTTTGGTGCTGGCTGAATTGTTTCAGAGGTTTTTTTTTCACATTAATGGAGAATGGTGTCATATGCATCTTACTGGCTCTTAAGATTTGGATTTTGATCCGTATCACTTGATGGGATGCACATGCACTTACTACACATGCACTATATGTTTGATGGGGTGTTGATTGAACTTTCTTTGATGTCATTTTTATTTTAAATCAATCTATAAATCGCACATTAACTTTAACAATTGCTTAAATGTTTTACCAAACTCTAGTAACTGCAAATCATATACCAATGTCATGCATCGTCAATATTCTGGTTAGTCTTTCCTTTCCCAACCCACTGTTTTTGATTAAAAAAACATCCCAGTACATCAAACTTGGGAGCAGAACCTTTGTTTTTTTTCATTACGGTCACCATCTTTCAATTCTACTTGAAATGCAGGGCTCCGGTCTTTACTGTTTCTGGTTTCATTTGTGTCATTTCACTAATTTTTACCGTCTTTTCTAGCCTCCCCAGGAACCTGTGAAAGATGCTTTCAAGGACATCCTTCCAGACAGTAAGACCACTCCGACAGGGATCTAGTAAGTACCACACAAACCCTGTTGAAACTCTTACTTGCTGCATAAGAGATAAAATAAAAAGATTAAAAAAAAAAAAAAAAATGTTTGGCAGATAAACATCTTTCACATGGTGTAAGTGCTCTGACTCAATTATAAGGATGTGTATTCCATTGTTTTTCAGCGTCACTCGCCGGAGACCCATCAAGGGTGCCGCACAGAGACCTGTCCAGTATTCCTACCCTGACAGTCCTGTGAGTCCCATGACCCAGCAGAGACGGGAGGTGGAGCGCTATCTTGTACCCATTCACATACAGATTTTAGTTTTCATAATTGTAGCATGTGTCCTGTACCTTATTTATGTTGGTGTTGAGGACAGTCTAAGCTATTGGTCATACGGTAAGGACAGGCTTCTGGTTCAGGCAGAGTCACAGGACGCAGATGTTGACTATGCACAAGATTAACATTCCTTTAATTTAGTGTTACTTTCACACCGACAGATTTTTGTTCCCCCTTTTAATTATGTTTGCGGAAGCGAACTGCAAAATCCAGTTTTATACTTGTGTTTTTTTTTTTTGTTTTTTTTTTCCTTGTTATTGTTTTGTTTGTATGTTTGTTTTTCTATAATATTGTCACTGTTCTTGTTACTATAGAAGTGATGCCGAAACAGACTAATTTTACAAATTGTCTATTTTCTTAACCCTAATTGTAATATTGCCTTTTCACAGAACTTGTCACGGTACTTGCATGCCTTTTTTTTTTTTTTTTTTTTTTTTTAAATGTTTGATATGTACTTCAATAAAATTTCTAAGTGCCTTTTCATACTGCAAAACAAGCCTTTATTGCACAAAAGCTTTGTAAATTCTTTCCCCACCCAAATGGTTATGTAACGAAAACTGAAATAAGCTCGTAAAACTGCTCTCTACATAATATAGGCGTGACTGTCTGTGTCTGGCAGCGGGTGGCTCTAATGCAAATTCAGCCTACAATAATAGTCGACGAGTTCCGGGGTAAACACAACCGTTACAATGACTGAGTCGGGTTCAAAGTTAAGAATATTTAAGTTTTTAAAGATAATTATTAGCAGCTTGCTTATTACAGTCCTGCTGTTATTTACAATAGCTGCTATCAGGACTCTTTCACTGGACGTTAACGCCGGACTTCAACTCGCACACTGGGAAAAGACGAATAACAAATCGCTCGACATTGACCACCATCAGAGAGAGGAGCTCCTAGCAAATTTTAAAGGTATTCGGAATCGTGTTGTAGTGGATGTAGATGGAGGTAGAGACACTTCTGTTTGGTAACAATTTGTCTCCATTTGTCCAGAGGCAATCCGCATCCCCACCGTGTCATTCTCAGAAACAGAAATCAACACCACTGCGCTGCTTGAATTTGACAGATTCCTCCGAAAAGGTAAACCTGCCAGTAAAACGTGCTTAAAGTACCTTTCTTTTACATATAATGTGCTCAACGTGGAACTAGCTGATAGCTGTGGACGCTTGCACGCATGATTTGATCGGTCAGTTGTAGCAAACTCTAAACGTTAATGTAGTTTTTGTATAACTGTCAAACTTGTATAGCGCTAATAAATGGATACAGACGCAGTTAGTGTTTGCTGTGCAGATGTACTTTGTTCCGTACACCTTATTCAGAATTGACCTTTCGACGTTTTGCCGAGCCAAGGTATGTCGAAACCTACATTGAGATGCACGTGGTTCAAAACATCAAGTCACATGACCTGAGGTTTTGGTGCGTTTTACCTGCTTACTCTAGTCTTTATTGGAAGTGTAGAACAAATCTGATGACAGGTAAACTTCCAGAAAGCTTAAAAAGAATCATCATCATTAGCAGGAGTGCCATCATTAAGCAGCAAGTTACACAGCAGTTCATGGCACTTTTTTTGGCAGCTGGTTAGTGAAACCCACAGTTACCACAATGTAATCCTCAATTCCACTGTAAAATACTTAATTGATGCCTTTGTCAGTGACACACAATTCACTGTTTTATCTAATATTTTACTATTTATTTGGAACAGTATATTTCAGTGCGTTGCTACACAATATTGCCAAAAGTATTTGCTTGTTTGCCTTCACACTAATAGTAACTGAGTTACATCCCATTCTTGTTCCATAGAGTTTAATATTATGCTGGCCTACCCTTTGCAGCTAAAAAACCCCAGATGCACTAAAATGTGTCAAATTAGTCAACATGTTAGCAGTTGCACCATCAACAGTTATACTAGCAACAACTAATATAATGTCCTTGCAGTCACAAGAGGCTGCTGTTGCTAGCACAGCCATGGAAAAGTGCAGCAAGAGACAGAGCAGTCCCAACAAAAGAGTGGCCCTTTTCCTGATGTACTCATGGATTGTTTGTTGTTGTTTCATCCTGGATAATTGTTCTGACACTCATTGGTCCAAGGTGTCCTTCTTTCCATTAGTGTAGTCTCAGGTTGGAAGACCTGAATTCAATGATTTGGACAGTTGATTTTTGACTTTGCCAATATAGTGTATTTTGGTAAAATGATGCCTATGTATACCTGCTGCAGGTGTGCCATGAGAACAGATTCTTCCAATTCAAGAAAAGAAGCTGACTCTGCTTAAAAACAATTGAAAACAAATAAAAGTCCTTATGTTTAATAAATGCAGAAATTACTACTTGATCTTCACTTGTTCATTTTCATTCACAATAAGGATAATACATGCATTACATTACATTCACCCTTCTTTCCAAACATCCCAGACAAAGTGGGAGACATTTAACTGCGGTTATAAGAATAAACATAGCAGCCATTTCTCAGTATGTTTTATTTTATAAATTGGATTGTTACTAAGCAACTGAAAAAGCCTCATGTATGTTAACAGGGGGAAAATTATATTTGCTGAAACACTTCATTACAATCACAGCTTGTTGTCTTTAACTGTCTCAGAGTTTTCCTTGCTTTGGTGTATGGGCACTTCTCAAAAACATTTATTGTTTGTACAGTGAGAGAAATAATTATTTGATCCCCTGCTGAAAATGTGAGCTTGCTCACTTAAAAAAAATGAACAGTCTCCAGTTTGTATGGAAGTTTAATTTTAAGTAAGTGAGACAGAAGTTGATCACCAGTTTTACACACATTTCAGGAGGGATTTTGGCCCACTTCTCTTTGCAGAAATTCTCTAAAGCTTTTAGTTTTCTTGACTCTGACTTGGCAACTTGAAGTTTCAGCTCCCCCCACTGACTTTCTAAAGGGTTGACATCTGGAGACTGGCTATGGCACTCCATAAGCTTAATGTGCTTCTTTATTTAACCATATACCTCTTTTGTTGCCTTGCAGTATGTTTTAGGTCATGCTGGAAAACCTATCCATGACCCATCTTCAGTGTTGTGGGTTAGGGGAGGAGGTTCTTATCCCAGATTTTATGCTACATGGCCCTGTCTATTAACCACTCTGTGGTGAAGTTGTCCGGTATCCTTAGCAGAAAAAACAGACCCAAAGCATAATATTTCCACTTACATGCTTGTCTATGGAGATGGTGTTCTTTGGTTTCATCTGACAATAGAACTTTCTTCAAAACCTCTGAATCATTTAGATGTTTGCTGGTGAAATAAGGACGGGCCTGCACATGTGCCTTCTGGAGCAGAGGGATCTTGCAGAGCTGCAATTAATTAAAGCGATAGATGATGAATTTAAGAAAAGAATTGCTCTTTCAGCTTGTTTTTTTTTTTGTCAGCCTTCCCTACAGTTTTCTCTTCTAGCTTGGTTCATCATGAATTGGTGGCAAACTACAGCCACTTGTTTTGGGTGAAAGGATCACAGCCTGAACTGGTGCCATACATGCTGCTGGCCCACATTGATGTAGTACCTGCTTCAGAGTCACATGGTTGGGAAGCACCACCATTTTCTGCAAAGGAGATCGATGGCTTCATCTATGGCAGAGGAACCATAGATGACAAAAACTCTGTAATGGTGTGAAAACATATTACTTTTGTGTGAGCTTACTTTTAAACAGACTTGAGGTATATTTGACTAAACTGCTGATTTATTTCTTCTAGGGAATACTTCAGGCGCTGGAGTACTTGCTGTTAAAGGGCTATGCTCCACGCAGGGGATTTTACATCGGTCTTGGTCATGATGAAGAAGTATGTTAACAGTTTCACTATGACATTACAAACTTAAATGGGATTGGAAATATCACATTTTAATGGCTGTGCTCTTCAAAATCTCTTTTTTAAGATCCATGGTCTCAATGGAGCGATGAACATAGTGCGTGTTCTGAAGCAACGTGGTGTCCAGCTGTTGTTTGTCATGGACGAGGGCCTGGCTATACTCGATGGAATCATTCCTGGTCTTGAAGGACCTGCTGCTCTGTAAGAACCTGTCTAAACATGTGTTGTGCACTTGTGTTGATCACATCTTATGTGTATGTGTACGATTTATGATTTGCAGAATCGGGTTAAGTGAAAAAGGCCAGGCCGTTATAAAGCTTAGTGTGTCTGTGGCCCCTGGTCACTCCTCGATGCCTCCCAGGGAAACTAGCATTGGGATCTTAGCCACAGCAGTCAAAAGGTGAGAGGAACATTGTTTTTTAAACTATAATGAGTTCTGTTTAGCTTCTCTGTTCATATGTTTCACTGCCTTGCATAATTTTACTACCCCATGTTTAAAAAGCTAGTATAAAAGATTTAACTGTGATCCTGTTTCCTCAGACTAGAGGACAACCCAATGCCGAGGTTATTTAGTTATGGCCCTGAAGGTGACACCTTTGAGCATCTGGCCCACAAGGTAGGGTAATCTAAATACTTCTTTACTAGTAGTATACTCATGTACTCATTCTTTACCAACTACTAATTCTTTGCCTTCAGTTCAGTTTACCACTAAAGTTCATAATGTCGAATTTGTGGCTCTTCTCTCCGCTCGTTAGCAGGTAATAACTGCTAAATATCATTTAAATATAAATTCAAATGTCATGTTTTCTTGTGATTGGTTCCAGTGAAATAGACCAGTTTTTATGTTTCAGGATACTTGAAAGAAAACCAGTATCTAATGCATTTGTAAGGACTACCACAGCAGTCACCTTTTTTAATGCAGGAGTAAAGGTGCAGTGATTATTTTAAATTGAATGTAATTCACAAGAAGTAAGATTTTAAGCCTGTTACTTTTCTTTGTAAAAATTCAATATCTCCTTCCCACTGCAGATAAATGTTATTCCTTCCCTTGCTGAAGCTTATGTAAATCTACGAATTCACTCAGCACAGTCGGTACAAGAGGTAGAGTCCTTTTTGAGAATGAATGCCTTACTATGTACACTTTGACATGAATATGAGATGTGTGCTGTCTTTTTTAGGTACTGGACATCATCAAGGATACGGTGGGCGACCAGCGAGTGAAGGTAGAACTTGTTTATGGATTTGACCCTCTACCCATCAGCGGTGCTGATGACAAGGCCTTTGGCTTCCAAATTATTAAGAAAACGGTGTTGGACTTGTTTCCAACAGTTACAGTTGCTCCAGGTAGGGTTCATACAGATTTGTAGACATTTTTATGAATTAGCTGGAAGCATTTTAAAGCATCTTTCGGGACATTATAAGTAATTTAATATCATATTTAAATGTGCAGGTATCTGTAATGGAAACACAGACAGTCGACACTTCGTCGACCTGACCAAAAATATTTATCGGTTTGCCCCGGCTTGGTTTAAGCCAGGTGACCCTGAGAGGTGAGAATTCAGCAGTTTTTAATACTGTCAAAATAGAGTTTC